TTCAGAAGCTTACTTTTGAAATCTCTTTGTGACGATGCATTTAGGCCATTTCTAAAGTGCAGAATTAATCTGCTCCATGAGCAATGCAGCAGGGGAGCTAGCTATCTTCACGTCGTTTGCCAGCATCAGGTCCAAGCTTTTTTTTCAATGAAACCCCTGAACAAAAGCAGAGAGAGATGCACTAACAGCTTCCCAGCGTAATCATTTCCATGGGATGTAATTATGTCATGAAAATTTTGCCATTTATGGATGCAGGGGGTGGTCTGCCTTTCTATATTTAGATTTCTGGTCAGAGCATCAATTAAAAGACCTCTTTGTTATGGGGGAAAAAAAAGGTCCCTGCCTTATGGTGTAAGCCATTTATCATTATTACAGCATCCCGCTCATTCAGCTAAACAATTAGCCTGCGGGTGGGTTGACATTAGTGGCTGTTTACGTGCGTTAGCGTGTGTTTGAACACCAGGGGCGTTCCCGTGCTCGGGGTTTTACAGGTGATGGGGGTCCCGTCGTCGGTATCTTCTGGCCACCCCCTCGGGGATAAAGGGTGTGTGCGTCGGGGTGTGGCTATAAGGGTGCGTGCCTGGGAATATGTGATTTCGCTGTGACAAAACGCTGTAATGGCAGGGTAGGATTTAGTCATAAAGCAATTGGGATAATCTGCTGGTTTACCAGCAAAGCTCCCCAGAACACCCACACTGAAAAGGATCCGAGCCAGGCTTCAAAACGGGGCCAGAGGCGGAGAGGGGAGAGAAACGGAAAGGAGGCGTGTTTTTTCTTTTAGTATTTGAGTATTTTCCTTTAAAAAAAAAAAAACCCAACGAATTGACAGTTGTGCAGCTATCAGATGGACGTACTTGTGACAATCCCAATAATGTCAACACCTGATAACCTCACCACAAAAGTAAAACTCCAAAAGGTGTTTAGAGTCTCAGTCGGTGAGTTTGTGCTCGACGGACCTGCTGTAACTTGCTCTTCTCACCTGAGTCTTTCTCAGAACCCTCCCTTTCATCGCACACAATCACATACACAGCCCGGTGGACAGATTAAACCCGACAGATAAGCACCTTTACTCGCAGGTGCCGGAGCAGGGTCTGTGAATCTTAAAGCACCACATTGAACAGATACGAATCTCCCTTTTTCTGCCCTTGCTGCTCTTTTTCCGCGCCTCAAACTGGCCTATGTCACTTTACATTGTAAAAGCGGACGACATTAATCCAGTTCTGCTACCCTGTTGCAGTCATTTTGACTTATTAACAGACAATGTATGGCACTGGATTCAGGGGATAAGATGAAAATGTGAGTTTTCTTCTCTTTTTTAGCAGTGAGTTATGTTTTTCTGTGCTGTCTTGGATTTGTATTGGCTGCCGAAGGCCGATAAACTGCTTGCTTTAACAAAATTTAATCTCAACCTTAATTTACCAACTACATCCAGTGATCGAAAACAACAGGTTTATAGACGATGTTCTCACTCTAGAAATTCTTGCTACTAAATAGGTTTCAAAGAATATTGACAATTTATTAATGAATTAAATGGATTTAAGTCTAATAAGTATCCTCGTCCTATTCTTATCCTGTTTTTGCCACACAAGCCTGTTTTGGTGCGGATTTACTTTTTCCTGGCTCTTTATAGTTTAATTTGATTTGAATCCAAAGCTGCTTTGGTGTATCAGTGTCTGTAAAGGTTGGCAAAAATGTAGAAAACATAAACAGAAGGTGTGCTGTCTCTGATGTGCACATTTGTAGGTGTGGAACTTCAGTGACTGAGATATGAAAAAATCTGACCAATCTGCATTCACTTCACAAGATTTTGGGCCTTTTAGTACTTTTATTTTCATTTAAGTTGAGTTGAGTGTAGCCATGCAGCAGCTACATCGAGCTACAACCACATAATCTGGGTTCGCTATCTTGGGTTTAGGAATTTTAGGACATTTGGAATTAGGATTTTATTGATCTGGGAAAATCTTGACAGTGTTCTGTACATCTACTTGTCCCGATATTCTGTAAAAAGAATAATGTGTAATGCAGCTTAACATCATAAAACAAAATTGTGCCATGAAAGGCTTGTCATTTTTCCACCATTGAAAAAAATAAGTTTGTCTCCCTCAACCTTTTAACAATATAACCAAGAAACATATACACTTTTTCTTCTTTTTGCTTCTATTTTCAATCATTACAGGGTACTATAGTACTTTGGAGCACTCTTTCCCACCCTGCCGGTGTTTTGTACAGTTCCATATTTTGCTGACGTCACTTCTGGATTCGATTTAATAGGATTTTGCATTTTAAATGAACTCACAGCATAATTAAATCAAATGTTCTCCATCCTCTACGACATGTTAATGATTATAGCTGTTACGTAAAAAAATTTGTTGAAAAAAAGGTTTTTTACCTTTGTGGAAAGATTTTTTTTCCTATCCTTGTCTTTCTTTGTGTGAATGAATATTTTTATTGTACCGTTTTTTATTCATTTTTTATTTTTTAATTGTTCGTGTACATCTGATAAATTCCTGCCCTCTGTTCTGCCATTCCTTGTGTTTCGACCGCCCCCCCTCCTCCCAGTTTTTGCCTGGTTTCCTTTCAGCTCAGTTTTCAAAGCAATGGATACCATTAGCCAGCTGTCATTGAAAGTTAGATTAGGTTTTGATGTTTCCTTCTTTGTAGAACTGTGGAAATTGTTCTGCAGAGGTGTTTTTTACTTCGGTTCTTCCCCTGTCATTTAGTTACGCCTTCAAATGAAGCAGCTCCCAGACTCAGTTTTTACCATCCGAGTTTTTGTTTGTACCGTCAAATAAAAACCCCTTTGAGCAACAACTTTCCGTGAGAGCAGCTTGCAAAAGCAATTGCAGCTTTTATTGCCTTATTTTGAATGGAAGTGGACAAGAAGAGTATGATTTTTTTTTTGTTTCATTATTTATCTTAAATTTTGAAGATGCTCCCTATTAAACCAAAAAGCCAAGAAGGAGGGATGACGGTTAGCTTTAACTGAATGTAATTTGTGCAAATGCACATCTACCTGATTCTGAATGAGTGACCTTGCTGTGTTCCACTTACACTTAACGAAGAGATGTGTTTTTCATTTTTTACAAGCATTTGTTTCCTCCCGTCCCTGGAGAAGTGAACAAAGACATCCACGCAGACATGTCTTTATAACAACAAACACATGCTTTTTGTCTGGGAACAGTCGGTGCTAAGTAATGAGACTAAGTGTGGCCAGGCGGACACACAAATGAATGAATCGGCCACAGAATCATTGGCTGTGTTTGATTTGCCTTCCACTAATTCAAAGAGACCATCTGATAAATTGAGAGGATGGGATGTACATCAGAAAAGCAAGAAGCGCCTCTTTGTTGTTCCCCATTCGCAACCAAATTACGCCCCCCAGCCCCCGCAAGAACGCCCAGTGGGAAGAATTTCTCCTTGTGTGTGTGTTTGCATGTGTGTGTATGTGTGTGTGTGTGTGAGAAGGCCTGGTTGCTAAGATGTGTGAGTTTTCGGGAGGTCCTGCTGAAAGCAAATGAAGGAGTGCCTGTGTCAACATTTTGATGGGAGTGATGAGCCCCCAAAGCCCCCTGGCCAAACATCCAAAAGGCTGCATGCCACCCCCCCCCCCCCCCCCCCCCCCAAACCAGCAACCAGCTTTGGTTGCCCATGATCTCAGCGTCCTTGGTGCAGTAAAAGGAGTGGGTGATTAAATGATTGCTGCATGGGCTTAGGAACACTTTCAGAGATCGCCCTGCCACCCACAAACGCAGTTCAAAGCTCGATTGCTCAAAGAGGCTAAGTGCGAACATGATCCAGGCCAAAACTCATTTAAAATTGACTCGAATCTAGCACCTAAAATCCCATCTCAGTTAAGAAACGGACACCACTCACAGAAACTGGTCTCATCAGTTTTAACATGATGCTGTTTTCTGCCGTGAACGGAAAGTTACATTGTGAAGTTTCTATTTATATTTTGCGTAGCTCCAAATGTTTTGGAAATGGATCGTAATTCTTGCTTCAGATAATGTGAATCAAGACGCTATATCACGCTATAAACAGTATTCTCACATTTGATATATGATCATGAGTAGTTTTAATAAGAGGTTTCTTCATTTTTCATTTTGCATCTCTACTTGATGAGGGAGTAACAGCCTAAAGCAAGTAGAACAGCCAGCTGAGCCAACCTGCACAACTAACACCTTTTGTCAGATTTTGGATTCTTTTTTCTATTTGCATCAACTTTATCTGATGCATAATACATTTGACTGTATTCATTTAGCATCTATCGTGAACCAGTCTTCATATTTTTATCAGAAAAGTTGCTGTTGAGCTTTGATGATTGATTTAATTTATTCTTGGCAAAGATTCTTTTGAAATTGTTTAGCCCATTTGATACAAAAATTTGTGTCTTTTATTTGTGAGAAACACATTTGAAGCTCTGAACTGATCGGCATGAAAGTACGAGCACATTTAAAGCAAATGAATGGACATTCCTTAAAGGCCAGTTTGATTATTTTCCATTCAGGCACTCGTGTGATGAATAATGACCCTTTTCCAACCATCGTCCCTTTAGTCTTTGTTGTTTGGCAGACCATCTTGTCAGGGCCATATCTGTGTGTAGCATCTCGCTATGGATATTCATTCTGCAATGCATGTAAGTGCTACGGTGTGTGCATTCCTCCACAGCTCATTTGAGGCTCAGATCTTAAGTCCCAAGCGGGAGTTTGTCCAGATGTTTGGTGCAAAGAGGAACATACTACTTTGGAAACTTTCCCACTTGCTATCTGGTGTGGTCGACTCTGGATTGGCTTCAAACTTCAAAACAACCCAGCTCCAAAAATAGCCCCAATCATTCTGCACTCAAGTCTCTGATAGCTGGCTCACAGAGCCCCTCTGTCGCTACGCCATGCTGTCTAATTCAAAAGCTGTCTTACGAAATCCAACAAGGCATAAAACACCCACAGGACAACGCTGTCTGTGCAGTAATGTTTTATTTCAACTATACATGCCGTGTTAAAAAAAAAAATCAACAAAACATGAAAAAAATTATTTACACATTCACAGTACAACTTTATAACATATCTACACGTCCAAATACTCTGAAGATCAAATATACAGCTGTGTTTAAATCAAGGTTACATGACAAAAAAAAAAAAAACAATCGGTTTATTTGCACGTACACCAAGCTCGGACTGAAATATAAAGGCTTCAGCTTAGATTGCAACAGAAAGACCCAGGTCATATTGCAATGTACAAGGCAGTTGAGCAGTGTGTGATGAGTATGTTTGTGATGTCAATGTGCATTTGCGGAGTAGAAAATAGAGCCCAAACAACTGGTCAGATGACAGGCAGAAAAAGTCTTTACATACAATCATCACTTGTAAACAAAATGTGGCTTTGGGCTTCACAGGCAACTGACAAGATTGCAAAAGTCACCCAAATCATGTACGCGCTGCTACGAGAAATGATCCCTCGGTTGTCCCTTTTGCCCAAAAAAAAAAAGAAAAAAGAAAAAAGCAGTTCCTGTCACTGCAATCCTGGGGTATTACAAATTCTGCACCAGCTCCTGCCATGCCAAGAGACGGCTTTCATGTGAACACTGTGTTAATACATTGGCTGTGGGCAGGATGTGCTGTGTTGAGCCGACCGCTCCACAGTGCAAGGTCTGACCACCCTACATCCCACCATCATGGAAATACATTCACTGCATGGCACCACTGTGTTGCGGAATAACACAATTCTTTTGACACACAGGCAGCAAAAGAGAATGTTCTAATTATCTGTCTCCCGATTAGCGTTTACTTTAAATGTCTTTGTGCATGATGGGCACTCCTAAGTGGAATGGCGTAGTGATTTTCCAACACACACCCCTGCTTAATTTCGAATCGAATGTATAGGAAATGTTTATCGAACATATGACAGTGACACACAGAGGACCAATCGACATTACCGATATTAAATAATGTACTTGTTCATTTTTTGAATAAGGCACACAATGCACAGATTCAGGTTCACTTGCCTAAAAATATTCATATCCCTTATTTATATTATTTAAGTATATACAGGACCTCGTCATTCCCAGCATGACTCATTTTGACACATCGGCAAATGTTGTGTTGATTGTACACTGGCCACTTGCAGGGGGGGGCTGCACAGGGAACACAGGCTGCAGAGGCAGGAGAATATATGACAAAGATGCTGTATGCTTGTTTTGTCTAGGATCAGTACAGTATATCGTTAATCGGATTAGTATGTTCTTCTATTTTGGGGATTCGAATTCGAGAGAATAGAAGGATCCTGGAATGACGACTGAGCTAAATCGTGTTGCCTTGATTTCACATGACATATTTTTAAATAATATAAAATAGAAACTTTGAATGTTCAAAAGTAATTTATAGTATGAGATGAATAATGTTTTTTCAATTATACCATTTTAATTATTTTTTAAAGAAAGTTTACCACCAGTATAGTTCTTAATCTTATAATGGGAGTCAGGGGAAGTTTCAGTTTTGCAGAGAAACACTATCCAATGAATTGTTTAAAGAGTGCGCTTGGTTACTTAAATCTGTTCTTCTTGGCCTCTTCCTGCAATGTACCACACATAATCACACGCAAATGGATGTGCACACCCATGCCAGAGGCTATCCAAATATTGTAGGTAAAAGAATGCACCAGACAATATCTATGTCTACAACCAATAGCAGCAAATGTTCAGTCAACCTTCCCAGTGACATCAGAATGCTCCCGACATGATCACCACCTTCCCTGCAGCCCAACCTTTTGTACCTTTACAAAGTGACAAAGATATATGGTTCAGGCTTGGTTCAGATGCTCGGTTTGAAAAAAAAGACCAAAGAAAAGATAATATTGTTGAAATGAAAGACAGTGACTTAGGTCTTCTACAGGTCTTAAGGTGCTTTCTGTGGCACCACTCTCAAAGGCCTATTATGTGTACTGCTTTTACATAAATCTGCTTTCCAGTCAACCCAAAACACATTCAAACATTCATTTGCACGCTCTTTTGCTGCTTGAATCAGCAGCTTGTGGTCATATGTATCTAAAGCAACTCACACACCATGATTATTATTAATCCTCCTCCCATCTTCGAAACAAAGGCTGGGCCTACCTCGCCTCTCTGTCCAGTTCACATTAGTGGGAAGACAGTGTTCAAGGGTAGCAAACGACTGAGACCCATTCTTCAAGTATTCCACTGTTTTTGAGCTGGAACCACATGCACATATGCCCTCGTGGCCCCCCCGCTGGTGTCGCTGTGAACCTCGTCACTAACAGGGGAACGGGTGACACCCCAAACCCAGATCCCATGTGGAGCAGTAGATCCACCACCGTCCGCCGTTCAGATCCTGTGGCTACCGGGACATAGGGTCAAAGGGAACCCCGATGAGTATCTTTGGCCACGTGTAGTTTTCCCTTTTTCCATATGAGTGACTGTGCATATCATTTAAAGGGGGAAACACACTTCAAGTCGATGCACTTACACACACACTAGGGCCGTACAACCTGAACCCCTCAGGATGCCGTGCTCCACAGGCCGAGAGCTTGCGCACTGGTAGTGTCCACCGAGTTTTAGTAACTGTACTTGTTGACCACTCGCATTTGTGAAGTCTGTGGAGAAAACCCGTTGGGTTTAGGGGGCACGTCTGGCTTTAGGGATGGGGTCCGTTTAAGCCCCGTGCGAGGGAGTGAGCCATGCCCACTGTAGCTGCTCTGCCGTGACATAGATGACGGGTGTGGTGAGTGCATCCCTGATGCCAAAACCGCACCGTGGGAATCAAGTCTGGAGGGGGGTGTCGGAGGCATGTAACCCCCTCTGTTCATACTGTGTTGGCGAGACACAGACACCCCCATGGTCACCCCATTCGGGGAGGTGGATAAGGAGTGCCTGTGAGAGGCGCTCCGGTGCAACTGGTACCCTCCTCTTTGCCTCTCAAGGGTACCCCCCATGCTCAGGCTTCCCGTTGGTGTTGTAGGGGTGGAGGGCATGGGCACATCGACCCTCTTAGTGGGGCTGTGCCTTGGCAGGGAGGAGGAAGGAGAGTACAAGGAGGCCTCGCGACTGGGCACCTTGGGGGGTAATTCAGTCAGCTCCTCCATGGGCTCCAGTGTGAGTTGAGGCCTTGGGCGAGGCCCTGATCCCTCTTGAAGAATGGCCTTTGGGTTAGCCACAGAGTCATTGAGGTGTTTTAAAAGGTCATTTAGAGTATTCCGTGCATCCACGGATCGTTTCTGATCTTTTTTACTTCCCTTAGAATCTGGATTCTTTTGCCTCTTTTCAGACGAATTAGGCAGAGTCTCATCTCCGTCGTCTAGGTTGGGGTGGTCGTGGGTGGCATTGGGCAAGACAACTGCACTGGGGATGTGGGAGTGTCCAAGAGGAAGGTGCGGGTGGTGGGGGTTTGCGTTGGTTGAAGCGGGAGAAGAGGGCAGGAACTGTGGACTCATGGCTGAAGAGTTTGACTCCTTTCGGGGTCCACTGACCTTCCCGTGAGCCCTCTCCCACTGGTTCTTGATGGGCTGTAGGCCTTTTTGCTGAAGCACCGGGGTAGACTCAGGTGTGGGTAGAGCAACAAGCTCCGGGGGCTGACAGCCATCCCGCAGAATCATAGTTTTGGTGTCGCCATTGGGTGTATTCAAATCTTTGCCATTGCTCAGCAGATTGGTATAGAGTTTGGAAAAATCAACATTGGTTTGGTACTCCTAAGGACATAAGATAGAAAAAAGTAAGGTTAGACAGTTCCTCATGTCGCAGCTTTCCACACACAGTATGAAGCACAGGAGCTGTACCTTTACGGGGCTGTCAAACAGGCCATGGAGCTTGTCGAGCTCTGTGGAGTCAGAGCAGGATGGCGCAGACTCTGGGTCTTTGTGGGCGTGTCTTGGCTTGCGGAGGAAAGAGTCTCGATAGCAGAACACGATCAGACCAGCCAGAAGAGCACCCATGAGAAAAGCAGCGAAGACGCAAGTGATGAGGATGTTCATGTGGACCATCTGGTTGGTATCCCCTGTATGGTTATCCCACACACCTACAAAACAACAAGGCATTGGTTAACACCCTGACATGATCTGAACTTCTTAATAGTGCGTATTTATCCATTTCCAAATGGCAGAAAAGACATGTTTGTGTGTGAAAAGAACCATGCGTGAATTGTTGCTTTTACACATCCCCCGTATAAGGTCAACCACAGCTAAATTCCATGAGCTAGTCATCTAAACACAGATGAAGGAGAAATATGGTGAAAACTGTCATATACCCACATCCATTTCACCATCTAGAGGAAACAGTGCTATGTTAGTTCAGCAAGGAAAACTTAAAGAAGTGTTGTGTTGACTCACATTCCACAAAAGATGGTGTCATGCATCCAGTACCAAAGGGGTAAGGAGTGCACTCTTATCTGAGATTGTGAGCCAAATCGATGTGTTCGCAAGAGTGAACGACCAGCCGAAAATTGTTCAGAGGATAGACGAGCAGTGTTTGCGTTCTTTGTGTCCAGATAGCTCTGCTTTGCGAGAGGTTTGTTAGTAACCACAGACATTGAGAGAGTTAGTCATCCACCATGCGGCCACACATGATGTGGCACAGCAGGCCCAGTCAATGATCTACCAGCCAGGGTAAACTGTCACTACAGCTAGTCTAAAATCTATAACGGTAAAAAAAAAAACTCAACAGAAATTTTTGAAGAAATTGTATGAGAACAAAGAGTTAAGGTTCAGTGATCAAAGGTAAATAATTTGAAACACGGAAAGTAAGAAAGAAGTAAGAAATTGAAGGAAAACTGGTTAAATTAATATGCATAACAACATAAATGATGTAGGAAATGTCAGTTTGATGAATAAAGAGACTAACTCTAAAAGGTCATGTTAGCTATTTGAAATATTAATTACCACACTGTGCACATGTAGTATGCAAGTGTGCGGGTTCACATTTCTGAGAGTGTCTGGCAGCTATCAGACCAGGCTCAATGCAGCATGCTGGCTGCCTCCCCGTGGGCCTTACCCTCTTGCCCCCCCGGGATAGATTCTAAAGAATGGGAGGTGGTTGGGTCATCCTGCAGCACAAAGCCTGAGCCGTAGAGCTCTGGACCAGACTCAGAGCTGGGGGCCTGAGTGGGTATGAATACTGGGGGGTGTATGGGCCCACTGGGCTGGACAGTGACTGGCGCTGATGAAAACTCCATGTCTGTGGTGACAAACAAACGGTTAACAAACTGTGCAGATGAGTGTAAAACAAACTGTTAAAGTCCCGGTTAGTAGGCATGGGTAGAGCGTGGGGGAAATAATCATGGTTAAAATCTATCAAAGTTAAGATGACAGTAGAGTTTTGTTTCTCAACTAGGGGAAAAGGGGGAAAAGAGGATACTGTGGAAAAGGAGTTGGTACACAACAGTGTGAGGATGTCAGGGGATGATGAGTGGGCATGCATGAGGGAGAAGGGATAAGAAAAGGAATCAGTGAATCTGTGCCAGGATAGCACTGATGTCGCCTGGTGGGTTATGCTATTCGTGAAGATGGAAATGAAACATTAGCATTCAGGAAGTTTTTTTGTTACTGAAGATGAGATGTAGGGGTGGTGGAAAGAAAGGGCTGGAAATGCTGAACTCAAGGAAAGAAACCATTTGAGTAAAAGATCAAACTAACCAGAGGTAGGGTCGCCAAATGATTTGTAATCTGGCGCTGAAGTAGTGCCCAAAAATGCTAAAAGAATTAAAAGGACAAGAAATCATTATAAGGGAATTCAGGAGAAAAAAACTGAAACCCCTAAGAGACACTAAGAGTGCAGTTTCACTGAATATACATGTAGCACTCACTAGCAGTGTCATTTCCCTGGAGGCCCTCTGGTTCTGATCAGTGCTGATGTTCAACATGGCTCATGTGTAGCTAATGCGCATGAAGGCAGCGTTTTGTTCAAATGAAGGAAGACTTTTCTGGTCCAAAACTCATTTGCACCAGCTACACATGACCAGCACTAGCACATGTCCATGTTTGTCCTCACAGGCGGCATTAGTTACAGGTGACCATGTACTGTATGTGGATGTGTGTGTTAATACTGCACACTGACTCATGTAGGTGCGAGTAATGGGAGTGGTTACTGGTGTGAGTGTGCAGGCTCATGGTGTGTGTGAAAAATGAATTAGTGTTGCGTTTACATACATTATCCATGTGTGAATTTGTGTGTGTGTGTGTGTGTGTTAGCACATGTCTCGGGGAAAGATGGCGTGGTATGGAGATGACGTCAATACCTTGACAGTCTCCTAGGTGGGCCGTGTTTCCAAATTCCGTGTCTTGCTCATATCCAGTCCTGAGAAACAAGAGAGATAATCAAAAAAGCTGGAACAAATGCCCGCTGTCTTCGTTTTTCATCTGTAATATTTGCGGTTCATATTGCGGCGGGGACTTGAACTCACAGAACACCAGACTGTATCCTCTCACAAGCTCCACTAGGCTTCCATCCACAGTAAGGATCCCTCGATGCTATGCAGGACCTGGTACCAGAAAAAAGCACAAACACAATCACACCGGGTTTAATCATTGTGCAAAGGGCACCACAATCAGTTATGACCAACTGAACATTAACCACAAGGCACAACGAGGACACCTCAGCATCCCTGTTATGACATTATCCTGAAAAACGAAACAACTCAAAGCTGTGAGTCAGCACACGGCCCTCTCTGTGCACGGGGGGGGGGCGTCCCTTACTTGTGGCAGGAGGAGTGTCTTTCGCAGCGGCTGAGGGGAAGACGGATGACACAGCTGGAAAAGGCGACGTAGAGGCTGTGTGCGTCTTTGTCCACGTGCAGGGAGAGGACACGCTTGTCGTCCTCACGGTTAGACAGGCACCTGGAAACGGGAGGGAAACCCAATCAGAGGTCTGACAGATAGGTCTGTCTTCTATTTCAGTCTCAGTAGATGTAATCACTCGTTAAGCGAAGGGGTCATCTGTTCATAAAGCGCTTTCCCTTAGATTTTAGCTGGATTTTAGCTTCTGACTCATGACAGTGTATGTTTTTGCTTCCACCCTCCCCACAAAAAAAAGCCTATACTCCAGAGCAGACACACTCTGCTATTTGACCTTCCCTTGAAGAGCTGCTGACACCTTAACCAGCGCAAAGAAAAGGAAGAGAAACAGAGAAGCAAGCCAGACAGGCGGGGGTAAAAAAAAAAAAAAGTGAGTGTTTCCTTACTTGGCTCTGTTAAAAACATCTATCTCTTCCAGGAGCAGGCTGTCGTTCAGAGATACGGACGAGGTCTTGGCTAAAACCTTGAGGACGACCCCTGACTCAGCCCCGATGAACACCACCGTGTAGTTCTTGTACGGTCCCGCCTCATTGTCCACAGCCAGGGCTGTCAGTCTGTATCTGCGTAAACAACGTGAGGACGCACTATTTGAGCTCATTCCTATGCAAAAGCCTTTGAATGCATATATACATTTTGGCCATTTACTTACTAAATATAGACATGGGTCAAGCATGCATCTGCCACATTGTATGTTTGGAAACTTCCTTCAAAAGGTGTATCTTTAAATGCCAGTAAGTGGTTGAAATCTGGTTGGATATGTGATGAATTCATAGATTTCTCATCCGACCTGCTCATATTGGATCAATTCCTAATCTTGTTTTACTGCTTTTGTTCAGATTCGCTAATCAGATTTTATTCAGGCCTTTGAATATATTCGGGACTTTAGGAATCTGTTTTTATGAACGTAAACAAAGAGGATGGCAGTTCAGTTCAGAGCACAGGAGTGTGTCCCTGGCGTATTTACCGGACACGCGTCTTTGTGAACCAAGGCTCATCCCCGATAGAAGGCACAGCTGTGTCCATGAGGGGGTGGGACTTGATGAACTGCAGGGTGTCGTCCGGAAACTCGATGGAGCTCTTAAAGGATGCAGCTGGACTGTGGCCTGCACAGCTCCCGGGTCTAGGAAACAACGTAGACACACACACACACACACACACACACACAAACAGGTCAAAGATCAGCCCATACCATCACACACCAAGGAGTCATAACACCGTGCAATGAAATGGATGGAAAAGTGCAGTAAGACAGAGGGTTTGGTGGGTGGGGGGGGGGGGTACCAGGTGGATCACAAAAAGGCCTCAGCTGGAAACATAAAATATACATATGCATGATTATCCGCCATCAATGATTTACAAGGGTAATGAGGCGCTTCATGGACTTTGTATTTTGGACTTAAGGCAGGGCACCGCTATATGTGCTGACTGTAAACAGGTTAAATATTAAACGCATCTAATTATGCCAAATGAATTATTTATCCATTAGCAGATGGCGAACGCATATACCGCGGGTCAAACCTAATAACCAGGGTCCCTTACTTGTGAAAAAAAGGTTTGATTTCACTTGGTTTAACTTGGACAAAGAGCCATAAAGAAAGGGAGAAAACTGACAGGTGGCGAACAGCTGCTGTGTTAGACACCTGCTGCCCACAGAAACGCCGTGTTTCACATCGGAGGATATTTCACAGGCTTCGTTCTTTTGCTCGGCTCTGGGATTAAAGGAAGCGAAATAAAAACCGTTCTTACCGGGGCTTGGGCAGCTTCTCCTCTGGAAACGGAGTCCAGACGGAGTCGGGGGTCTTTTGCTCTTTGAACCGGCCCCAGAACACTTTCTCTATGTCGGCCATGGAGAAGGCGCACACCGCTGACCCCGGGATACTGCGGAGAACCACACATAAGAATGCAACACACACGTTTGATGTCTAAATTTTCTCTCCTCACTGGGGTTTGCCTAAACTTCGAGCAGCTTGGACTCACCTGTTCATCTGGGTGGTGAACACCCCCACCACCGAGGGAACCCCGTTGATGTCGATGATGTCAGTGATGGACTGGAGCACGTCGAAGTAGAAGAAGGACTCGCCCGGCACCGAGCAATTCAGCCTGGCTTTCACAAAAGATGTCCAGTGCTTCTCCAGCACCCGCTGCGACCCCCCGACGTCATTTTTACAGATTCGGGCCACGCGAGAATACACAACCTACGAGAAGTGGAGGAGGGAGAGAGAGGGAGGCATATGAGTTAAAGTCACTAAACACGCTTCAAAATATTGAATAATGAATAGCTAAATCCTGTCGGCCCTCCGCACAAATGGCTTCACAACACACTGTCATATTCAGCTTCAACAAAAAACGTTTTGGAAATAAAAAAAAGGACGTCCCTCGCCGACTTGGAGCCCCTCCATGCGCAAGTCTTTGATTGCGCATATTACCAAAGCACGGAGGATAAATGAGGCCCGTGGAGCAGTTGGCTAAGACGGGTTTTTAATAATTTACCAGAGCAAACTTCCATCAGAGGCCAGGTGTCGCCACAGCATTAGTGGGATTGAAATATTTAGTAGCCGGTGGCTGATGGAAGATGCCGGCTTTCTGCGGCTCCACGTGAAGGCGTGGTCAAAAAGCGAACGCCGGCCTAAAAATACGAAAACACCCCACGAAAAAAAAGCCAGAGACTGTATCTGCCGGAGCGAGAGGAAAACCCAAGGCGCGCAGTCTCTAGGAGACAAATCCGCTCACTGTGTAATGGTTTTACATTAGTCAGGCATTCCCGGAAAAACACTGCTTGTTAAAATTTCTCCTGCGCTGGGATGTAACGTGAAGCCAGAGAAGCCCCCATCGTTCGATACAGGTCCGCTGTGGGAGGTGCGCGTGTCGTTTTTTTGGTTAAAGGCCTTCCAGTTTTGAGGAATAATGCTCTGCCTTTCGAACAGCAGGTGCGCCAGGTCTTACCTTTCCCAGATTGCTGTGCTCCACCGCGATCTCCCGGTAAAAAAAGTACACGTAATTCCCGTACTCAGCGGCGTGCAGGAAGTGAGGCTCTGAGGGGGGGAGAGAGACAGGAGCACCGTCACCACCAGCGTGCACGTTGAATATTTCAGAGATTTGTACAAGGCAGTATATGACAGGGGTGACCTAGATTGCCTGGGAGAGAACGGGGCCGTATTCCCGTGGAGCCTCGGAAAGACAGGAGAGCTCTCTATCACTCCGAAAACAGCTCTGACAGCCACGGACGAGTGTCCAAAGGCACCGTGGGCATTTAGCTTTTCTGGCCGGTCGGCGCATGCATTTCTTAGAAGGGGCAAAAGATTCCGAGCTACTAAGAGAAATGTGCTTACCTTTCAACCATTTGGAGTCATATTTGATGGTTCTCAAGGCTGACCCGTCGCCCATACTACGATAAATGACGGAGTCACTGGCCTGGAAGTCAGCAACGGTAGCGGAGTACAGTTTCCCCTCTAAAAAGCCACAAAAAAAAATAACAAGAAGGAGGAAAAAGGTTTAAAAAAAAAGACTTGGGAAATGCAGCTCTTGGATGCTTTGTTTCTCTTCTTTATATAAGGCCTAATTAGCTGGGCTGTTATCACTGCAGGCACAGTTCTACGTGGCAAAGACTCAGAGGTGATAACGAAAAGCGTAAGTAGGAAACACATTAGTTGTTCTTCAGCGAGGCTAACCGTGTGTGTGTAGGCGTGTGCGTGTGTGTGTGTGTGTGTGCTTCACCCGTACCAGCGAAAAGGGCAACATTGGTTTGCCTGGAGTCAAACGGGCACCGTGCCAGACCATTGATCTCTTCCCCATCAAACTCGAGGTTATCCAGCTGCAGGGAACACAGCAATCACCCACACACATCAGAGCGGTTTTTGTCGAGAGATGAGGCTAAAGCAAACCCACATTAAATCACCGGCATAAATCAGCCAAATGCATTACAACATAAACTGCGAGAGCAGGATTAGCTCAAGTCGAGGTTTTAACAGTCGGGCCTTGACCCCGGATACTGACCCTGTAGTATCTGCACATGGGGTTGAAACCATTGGTTCCACAGATAAACACCAGGTCGTCATTTCTGGGAACCAGCACTTTAATGAAGTTGTGGCACTCGTCCTGGAAACAACCACAGAATAGGAAACGGTGTAAGATGTGGTGAGCTGTGACCCTGATAGCTACAGGTTTGTTTTCCAGAACGTGTGTGAAACTGCTTTTTTTTTTTTCTATTTGAATACATACTCTGTGTTTCCCCTTTACGGCACACATGTCTCTGTCAGCTTGGCCCGATCGCCATGTTAACTTCTGCAAAAACCCACATGGAGCATTAGAGACGTACACACACCGCACACACACGCACACACACACACACAGTCCTCCCTTTTTTCCACTCTCTCATTTTACAACCTGCCCAGTTTGTGATGAATGGCTCTGTATTTTCTATGGAGCTCTTTAAGAGGTTGTGGATTGAGAGAGCAGCTTGTGGCGAGAATCTTACCCGGTAAGGAATGATCTCATTCCTGTAGGATTCTCTCAGACTGACTAGGTACACCTGATCTCTGTGGACACACAACAGCAAAACATACAGCTTAGTGATGCACAAAACAAGCAGCACCCTATAGGGGTCCGTGACAACACTTTTAAAGATGCCTATTCGGCAAATAATTTGTATTACTCGGCAATTTTATAACCAGTTGGAACTATGTGATTAATTGGTGAGTTGTGTTTATAATCAGACGTTTGCTTTTTCGAGTGAAACCACTTCTATGAAATCTATTTTTAATGACGATCTCTACAATCTGACGCATTTCAGGTAAACATGGAAATAGCAAGAATAGCAACCGACCGATGACAGACGTGCATTCGGCGCCCCCGGTGGGGGCATGTTTTTTTGACGTCAAAGTGATTTCCTGCTACAGTGTAAGTGCTAGCAGTCAGATTACTCCCACTGCCCATAAATACAAAAAAAAAGACATGTGAAGATGCCAAGAAATCCCTGACAGCGCGTCGGGCCGGCATGATGGACGCCGTTACCGGATCGATACCGGCAATATACATCAGACGCAGGGGGCTGGAAGCCGCAGATCCAATAACACTAAGAGCTTTTCTTTTTTTTTTTTTTTTGCCCCCGCGCCTCTGTTTACCTGCCAAAGAGTGACTGAGTGGCTGTGCTTGTGTGTGTGTGTGTGTGTGTGTGTGGGATGTGTGAAGGAGAAGGACGACAGGTAAAGATGGCAAATGCGTGGGCCTTCAAACGTACCTGCCCGCGATGAACAGGGTGTCCTGTATCCTCGTCATCAGCTGAAAGTCGAGGCGGTGCTGGGACTCGTTGCCAGAGGGCCTGCCTCTGAACACAGGATACCTCCGCGAAACTGCAAAGACATCACACACACACAAATCCGTTTGATTCAAACAACACGAGTATAGAGACGGACATTTTTGTGTGAATAAATATGGCAAATCCGTTTGATTCAAACAATACCAACTATAGAGACGGGTACTTTTGTGTGAATAAATATGGTTCGCTTGTTACTTCAGTTAAGTGAGACAAAAAACACCAAGGTGGCTTTTATTTTCATCAGCCCAATGTGGGGTTTAACACAGCTCTGCACATTGTCTGAAACCAGACCCCTGTGTCACCCTGTTTTTTGGTTTGTGTGTTCGGCAATGGCTGCTTTCGTCAGCACATTTCTCCCCCCGTTGCCCCAGTTCATGGCAGAACTGGAAAATAAAAATCCACTTAGCGCTACAACTGGCCGTGCCGCAGATGACTTTAGGTGTATGAATGTGGGGCTTGAACTGCTGACTCCACAAAAACTGGAGACTCCAGGCATTTTGTGTCTTTTTGCTGAGGGCAACAATGTGATAACTCCTGTCTAGATGTTTTCTTTTTTTTTCAGTCGGTAATTTCAACCCTTTTCGGGCTCGTTTGGACGCGTACTCACAGTGTGCGTCGACCACGTCGAGGGGCGCGACGTCCTCCGGGAAGCTGGCGGCGAGGAGAGTGCGAGAGGCTGTGAGCAACAGCAGCAGAAGCTCAGCGAGCAGAAGCGCGGCTCTCTGGCCCATGGCTGCTCACGGACGACACTTCCTGTTTCACACTGCCGGGGGATGTTACCTGGAGACACACACAGCAAAACGCGTCCTTTTTCTTGCTCGATGTGTAAGGTACTTTAATAGTGTGTTTTATCACGGCGGGGTCCAATGATCTAAGTACAAAGACTGACAGATTTTTACAACGCTGAATAGTGGTGCGTCAAAAACGCGCCGCACGCGTCCTTTCTGATTTATTGATGACTGAGCTCTCAGTGGCAGCGCTTCCCCCCCCCTTCCACCTCCTCCCTGCATCTGCTGTCTGAGGGGAAGGTCAGCCAACTGACCGGTGGGGCGTCCTCTGTGTGTGTTGGATGCGGCGGAAGTCCGCCCCGTCAGGAGCGTGGCGGGCCTGCTGCCTCCCTACATCTGTGCCCCGATTGGTGTTTTTTTTTTTTTCCCCGGGCCAGACTCCATACTAATTTAGCACGTTGCAGCTTCATCACCACCAGGAGTGGACCCTCTGCTCTGACCTTAGCGGACTTCTATCAGGCCGTTGGGGCTATACTGCAGCCTGGCCATCCACGTGCATTTCCAACTCACGCACGCAGCTGCTTTGACAAAGTATCAATACTTTCTGGATAATGGTTTGTAACATCGTCTGATTGAAGACAAGCTCCACCAACAGCTGCACTGGTAATAATTTATCGTGGGAGTGGCAGGAGTTTAGTGTGTGTGTGTTAGTTAGTGTGTGTGAGCGAGTGCTTTAGAGACAGACTACGTCTGTGCATATTAATGATCGGTGTACATTCAAATATTTATAAGGCAAACAAATTATTCATGCCGGCAAAGCCCGAACGGATATAAACAATTTACTGGGAGACGTCACACAGGCAGAGGGGATGGATTAGCTGGGAACGCACTGGGGTGCACCCGCACACACACAAGACCAGCGCACGCCTGATCGCTCTTTTAAATGGCAGAACGCAAAGACAATTGTGTGTGTGTGTGTAGAGGGGGGGGGATAAGAACATGTATACGCATGCACAGACAAAGTATCGACTCATTTTTCAATTAGCCCCAAAGCACACCTGCTACCACCACAGTCTGTGAGCCCAGTCTGCCAAGCCATTAGCGCTCTGATTGATCCACACAGGAAACATGGCTGATCAGCAGCCAGTAAAGACAGGCCACCGACTTTGCCATATCCCAGCTGCAATGTGTGTACTTTAAAAACCTAAAGGTGAACTTTTCACTCTCATATATGTATCTATAGGAGAAGAAACTCCAAATACTGAATAAAAAATAGAGCATATGGTCGTCGATTCAATTTGTTGTAATACATAGTTGATCACACGACAGTGCAACAATCAGAATTTCAGCCTTTTGTTAGCACGCATACAAACTTTTTCCCTAATTGTGGCTGACCTACCCCTCCAAAAAAAAGCATTAATAATCCACTGTTGGTCCAAACAGTTACTGTGCGATGATGAAAGGCTGTGGTTGAATGGCGAAATCAGAATAATGACAATGTGTTTTGGTCATCAACAGTGTGTAATCATGGCTATTCAGCACTCTGCAGGATACCGAGGCCCTCCAAAAAAGCAGTGTCATTAAGACTGAGTAATGCACGGCCTGCATGAGACGGCACTTCAGCTCCATCAGTCTGCATATTAGTGAAATTAGGGGTTTGATGTCTTGACAAAATAGGAAGATTATAAGGGCTTAAAGGTTGTTATTTCTACATATGTTCAATAGCCAATTATGTGAAATCGCTAATGCTAATCAGGAAGCAAATGACTCTGCACATAAGCAATCTGTGACTCTGTGAGCACACACAATCCACATCTATACACAGCACCTGTCAGGAACTAAGTCTAAATGAGGAAGGATAACGCTGCTCTAAAAGAGTGCTGGTGGGGTTCCTTAAAAGCATTGCAGCTATTTTTTACTACCTGGTCTGGATGCTCTTAGACTAGGAAGCGTGCTATTTTAAAACAGAGGCAGTAAATTGTCGAGTTCCGAGAAAAAGACGGGGACTGGAATAGACGCCAAATGCTTGACAACAGAAAAAAACAACACACATAGAAGATATGAAATGTAAATAAACAGAGCTCCTTAGTTCTGTTGCATGGTGCTAACATGCACTCTTAGCCCAAACTTGGCTGTGTTCACAGGTAAATCATCTCCTTACTTATCAGAATTTACAGTCCTCTATATTACCTCTTCAAAAGCCCTCCCATTCACACCCCTTTTGCTGCCTTTCTCCCTCACTTAAAAATTCAGGAGAAAACCACTCGGCCCCTGCCTGGTCTCCCTTGCATGGTAAGCAGCCGTGCACCAGTGCAGACACACGGCCTTCCCCAAGAAACTTTAACATACGCCAGAAACAAAAGGCGTGCAGAGGTCAGCCGTCTAAAATTACTTTTAAATGTCTTGTGGCCGTAGTTTGAAAAAAAAAAGAAAAAAAAAAGGACTATTTCTTTGAACTCTCTGGCTGCTGCCCTGGAGTGTTTGTGTATATGTGTGCATGCATGCACATAATGGCCTCAACAAGTCTACAGACACTGGGCTTGTCACGCAACGCAGTGCGATCCAGTTCTTGCCTCGCTCTGCCTCTATTATTACAGGCTTTTCAGTGTCCTACAACCACGCACTCTCACTGCTGATGTTTTTGGCGCTGGCTCGTGGTGTTAAACACAGACGTGGGGAAGGGAGGAGGGGTCTGGTGGATATTTATTTCTGCTGATCGCTGGACGAAGGGCCTGTTGCCCAATTCTGGTAGTCGCAGATCCAGCTTTAATGTTCCAGGTTTAAAAAAATGACAGATTAACACTTATTCTCCTCTTACTTGTGCTTTCACTGGCAGACATAAGCCTTAAATGTCTCCCCCACACTGTATCACAGGATGGATGTGTTGTGGCAAAGGGAGGTCCTAGGTCCTACTGGGAGGAATTGGGTAAAATAAAAGGATGGCAAACAGCCTCGCGTGAGGCTTCGTGAATCGTGTGCGAACGTGATGGGTGGATGTAATCCCAGCGGAACAATGGCCGACGCTGCTTGAGGGTTTGCTTTTTTCTTGTCTTCTCGCGCCACGCTGAGCTGTAAAAGCCAACAAACACCGGAGAGATCAGATAGCCCCGACCGAAGAGTTCGGTTTCAGCCGGTTGGTTTGTCCCACTTTCAGCGTGTGCGTAAACGCACATGGAGCCGGGCGCTACGGTCTTTCCAAAGCCCAATACATCCTGTAGCGTGGTTTTTTTCTGACTCTCTTATGTGGCTCGGGTAAATTAATCCAGATGCAGTCATGCTGGGGAGGGGATTGGGTCAGATGATTAGAGCAGCTACTGCACGGTCCCAGAAAGGATCCCCATCCCTCAATAATACACACACAACCCCCTAATTGTGTGCTATTTCTGTGTGGATCGCTCCTCGGGGGCTCGGTTGGACTTGTTGCTTTGGAGATTTGGAAGAAGAGGAAAGGGTTTGCCACTCTAAACCGCGTTTCCCCTCCTTTTCCCCCCCTCCACTCTGACGAGCGGAGCGGTGAAACGGGAGAAAGGCTGTTCTCAGCAGTAGTTCTACTATAGTGGAGCATAAAAGCCGTAAGCTGCAGGTGTGACCAAGAAACAAAAGGGGCTTTGGGCAACTCACACACACAATAGAGCCCCACCCCACCCCCGATCGGTGGATCCGTGCTCAGTGGAGCTGTGTTGGGTCTCCTAAAGCGGACTTCTGAGGGCACAAGGCAATCTAAGCAAACTCTTACTTGACTCCAAATGGTTCACACATGGTCAAACTTTTATCACGCTGCCAAATTGAGTAGGGAAACCCATCTAATTTGTGATGAGCAGTTTAAGGGGGGAAAGCTTCACCTGTAAAGGGTTAACGCTGATCACTGTGTGGTTTGATGGTGATTGTTCCGGGGTTACAGCTGGTCGTAGTGGAGGTTAACAGTGGTCGTTCTGGTCACTGAATTCTGACCCTGTGGCCAGCGAGGCAAAAGTGAGGCGCACCGGCCAGCTGTGCTGGCGAAAAGAAAGAAAGAAAGAAAGAAAAAATAAAAAAAGACCAAAATAGCCAAGGCTTGTTCTGATGTTTGAGCTGGCCCCAGTTCAATGTTTCTGCCAATATGGAGTTTGTAATTACAGTATAAGCTCTCTGATCTCTGTGGCACAGTTCAGACACTTTTGATTTCTGAGGAGATGCTCAAATCCAGATTTTTCTTTTTCTTTTTTCTGGAAAAGGATTACACTGGTTTCGGGACTTGGCAGTAACATTTTAAACTGAAATGATGAGTGAGCAACATCCAGCTTCCATCCATCTAACTCATCTGGTCACATCTTCTCAAATTAACATAGCTTTTTGCTTCCTGTGCCATCATTCTGTAGTCATTGTCTTATTTCTTTGATTGTTTTTTGTCAAGTTTTGCACGATGAGCTTCTCCTTCTGTGTTGCGCACAGAGTCTAAGCGCACACCATGGCTCTAATGCATTCATTCTATAGACCGGAGCGTGAAGGCATTCAACTTTCGTCCGTGGTAAATCTTTTCACACCCCCTTTTAGTCCACATGTAAGTCTTATACAATAGACAACAAAGACGCGGGGGGGACAGCGGTGGAGTGACAACAGCGATGGGGCTGCGTTCTGCCTCCACAGCACTTAATGGACACACAGAGATGGGCTTCAGGCTGCACTGTCTCCCATAAAGGTTACGAGCTTTTCTGCGACCGACTATCCAAAATGTAAGGAGATGGCGCAAGGAAATTTGGGACACATTAAACAGATTACAACAACCTCCATGGTAACTGTACGCCCCACTCCTCTTATTGTTTAACAGCATGCTGTCCCGTCTGTCTCATCATAGGCAAGTTGCCCTTATTCCAAGTTGATTTTGTGGTGAAATCAAAACGAGAGACCACAATTATTTCAATCAAATCATATTTCTCACTAAACTCTCATCAGTGCCATTATCTTAAACGAGATTCTCTATTATCGTCGGACAGTTAGCAAATTAGGATCATTTCAGCCATAAAGGGTCCCAGTAGATAACTAGCATTATCTTCTTCATTTCTCAATTTGCCTGAGAATGTTTAGGCTTTCATTATAAATATAAATGACCCTCATGTGTATATTCTGTTCACAAAGTAGCCCCTCGGATATGTCCTTTATGAAATCCAAGGGCTACCATACAGATTCAACACTTGTGCCTGGGTCCATTGGACTCAAAATTCCACACTTTGTCAATATTAATAAAAGAAAGAAAAGAAAAAAACACTCATGATACCTACCTTAAGTGTCCAAATGCGCGCATTAACGGCGCAATCCGATTGAATGTCTTATTCCTTTGATAATCCATTTGCGAGAAAAACCCCAACGTGTGATATTCCGGTTATTTTAAGCTCCATCCGGACCCCCACTTTCTCTTTTTTTTTTATCCAGTTGCGCACGGATTTCGGGCTCCGGGAGCGTTCTGATTCTGACCGTCTCCGTCCCTGGGCCCCTCGCGCTCTGATGATGAGTAATCTTCAAAGCTCAGCCACGACCACACAGCCCCCCCCCCCCCCCCTCCCTCACAGACCGATACACACCAGCCCCCTTCCACTACGATTAACTTTGGAGAGCGAGAGAGAGGGGAAAAAGGCACAAACATTGACGATGCGATCCCATCCCCAAAAAAAAAACATAAATCCCAGAAGGTGCACTCAGGACTCACGCAGACACGGGCTGGATCCACCAGAACGCAACTCTCCAAATGTACTAAAAACTCTTCCCCCTGCACGTTTTATTTCAACCACACAACTTGGGGCTGACAGGTTTGAGAAACAGTTTGGAGATACGAGAAAAAAATAAATAAAGGTAGACGCGTTAGAATTTTAAATGGATGCAAACTGAGAAATGGAGAGCAAGGCAATTATTTTTCAATTGGCTGTGCCCTCCGAAAGATAGACCTGAGTTCTGTCGACTCATACGTGAAATGAATGGATTCTAACCAGGGCTGAATCACTATCAAAGTCTACTACCGTCCTGCAACCATTAGTTTTGCAGGACAGCATTGCGACGTGGTCAAAAGAAACATTTCGTTTTCCAGCAAAGACTTCTCCTCTCTCTAGTTTTCCCCCGTTCGACTTTTTTTTTTTTTCTTACAGCAAACCACGGCGCGACAAAGTAAAAAAAAATCCACGTCGCTGCAGAGCACTCACCTCATCTGCACGGATTGTTTTGTATCCTTTTACGCGTCGCTGTAATTCCAAATATTGGATCTGGCTCGTCGTAGTGAATCAACTTCTCCTGGCATGGGAGGAGGAGGAAGAAAAAAACAAAACAAACTAATGCACGGCAAATGGTGTAATACGACCCGTGCTAAGTCAATCCATCCAGTGCCAGGACCAGAGCCTACCAATAAGCAGCGCTCTTGCTCCAGTCCCTCCCCCATTATCCATCTCTCCTCTCCTGGTTCGGGCTCCTCTCTGCCTCGCTCGGGCTTCCTTCCTTTTTCCCTCCTAGAGCCCGGAGAGAAAGAAAAAAGCGACCCCCACCCCCCCCCACCCCCTACCGCTAGCCCTGCTCATGTGTGTGACCCCCGTGTTAAATCCCATCCCCCAACCCCCAAATCAGAGAGAGTGCCTAGTTAAAAATCATTTCAGCTGAGTTGTGGCAAGTCTGCAGCTATAAGCTGAAGAACAGATCCAGACAAGTTTGGGATTTCTGGGGGAGATTTTTGGGCACATCTCTTTAATTTTACCCGCTGGATAGGGAATGAAATTACCGGGAAAATTGCAAAAACTGGAAGTTTTCTGCCCACGTTCGTTTCGCACGGAGCCAAAGCGTTTGATTATAAGACGAGTTTAAAGGGAGAAATGCAAGCAGCAAACACATTCAGGGTGAATTAACGAGAATTAACACAACAGCTCCATTTGAATGCAAATCCCTATCATAGTCAGATCTAAACACGGGTGTTCTACATATGGAAATATCAGAGTGAGCATCTTTCCGTTTGATTGTGAGGCCGGAGAAGTCCTCCAACACAGGGTCATCCTGGCCAGGTTCTGCCAGGCCTGGACAAAAGAAGGCCCGTTCACACCCCATTAGGGAGGCAGGTTAGCAGATGTGTGAGAATCTCCTCACCCGCCTCACCCATGCTCCTGACAGCCCCCATTATGGAACGCCAAAGTGGGATCTGCATCTCAATACTCGGATAGGAAACACTGCTGATCTGCCTGATCCCGGTTTGGCACTTCTTGCACGCCTTTGTCCGAGCGTGTCCCACCCTCTTCCTCTGTCCTTTTTTTTTTCAAAACTCCGAGTGTCCTGTCTTCTTTTTATTTGGAAGAATCTCTCCTTCTCCTCGGTACACAACGGTTGTGTAGTTTTGGTCTGATTTCTCTCAAGTGACACACTTAATTCAGTTTCTTATGTTACATTCAGGCCCCCCCCCCCCCCGTCTCATCTCTCACTGTTCAATCTGACCACTGTGTCAGTCCCGGGTTACTTATGCGTGTCCTTGTATCCTGCGGGGACTGAATCAGCATGAGATCCTACGTGGGAGATGATACATCAAGATAGACGGATCAATGTTCGCGGGGCTCTGCCAGATGCAAGTCTTGACTCGCGGAATAATGTATGGATCTGTGGGTGTGCGGTGATTGGTGGGCGTATTGACTGGCCCTTTTTTTTTTTCCTCCCGGTGAATGGACCGCTTTATTGAATGTGTAATGGCGATGTGATAGCGTTTCAGTGGATTTTGATGGCTATCGCTGCGTGATGGTCGTCTTTTCCAGTCGTCTGGTCGTCTCTTCTTCTTCTTCTTGCTATTTATTTTCCGCAACTTGATATGAATTTTCACCGACTTTCAGAGCAATTGCAACGTACACCTTGTTTTTAGCCCTTTTATTTGGTTTAAAACGATGAAAAAAAGTGCACAAGTAGTATTTTATATTGCATTATTTCCCAAATAATAAAAAAACAAAACCAACACATTTTCTTAGAAGGATGATTGCATGGAGGCCTAATTATAAACATTGCAGGGGTAAAAATGAAGCAGATGGGTGGGCGACAAAGGCCCTCTCGTCTGGGAGGTTTGGACTGATAGTGAGAATGGAGGGATGTGGATGTGTTGACGTTGAGAGATGGATGATTGTAGAGTAGAGTTATGTTCATGGAGGGTGGAGGGGTGGACAGAAGACAGAAGGCCCGAGCTATTCCCAAAGCCCGACGAGCTCCCCCGGGGACCCCACAGGGTGCGGGTCACGTCTGAGGGGTTGTGGCGGGGAGAATACACGGGGCTTGGCCTTAGGTCGGGCTTACAAGAGAAGGTGTGCTAGCCCTCCGGTCGGTTATTTACTGCCTGAAATGCTGGTACAGATGGCCGAGTGTCAAGGCTGGGGGGGGGGGGGCAGACATAATGTGAGGAGTGAGGCCAGAGGCGGAGATGATGTATGCAATTATTTCTATTCTCTGCCAGCTAATCAAACAACTTAATATATATATATTTTTTTTTAAAACTTCCACCAAGTTAAATAGACGAACAAAGAAAATCTACATGATTATAAACTGAGGATAAAAAAAATGACCCATCAGATACTGTGCTACTGACTAAAAAGAAAGGCGTGTGCTGCTTGGCATTAAGTGATCGGTCAGATGGCTGACTCTCACTGCGGAGGCAGTCTGGACCGAGACAACATGGTGACCCCTGATTGATTAAGAGGCCATTTCTGGCTCCTGACTGGCCTGGGGCACCATTTGTCACCTGACTGTGCAGTCCCGTTGAGAAGCTTTACGTCCTCCAATATACACGCAGACTTTTTTTTTCTCTCTAAATCCCCAACACAGCCTGATCCACCAGGGCCACCCATGTCAAAAAATCTGTTCACTCATTCTGCTGCTCAGCCTTTTTGGATTAGAGCAAATTCCAAATGCTACTATAACATCCAAGTCCTTGGAACGCGTTCTCTGCAAGGGATATTTTCTCCAAATATATTTCAGGTTGCAGAATTTCTGAGAAATGTTTTAATCTTGGGAGTGGACGTGTCAGCAGTATATGGACCGCTGTATACTAATCCACTTTGATCTCGCAGATTTACTTATCGAGCCAAGCGTGACCTAACCAAAACGTTAAATGGAGTAAAAAAATCTGTTTGGATTTAAAAATGATTGCAGACAGAACTGTGGTTGATTTAAATTATGTGTGAACGTATAGATCGCCAAGGTTACTGGAGTATTAATGGGTTGGTTATTTGCAGGAATAAATGGGCATAAGACAAAAAATTCTACTTTCATCCTCTTTTAAAATATAATCAGGATATTAAATAGACTATTGGAAAGGAAACGTGTTAAAATTGTGCATCAAAAGCAAAAAACAAAACAATCAAACAAACAGTAAAGACATGATGGAATTTTTTTCTCTTCTTTTTGACATGATGGGATTGTACTTATCAGATTGCCTTTACAGGTCGAATGTGACACTTTTATTACACCTCAAAATTTGGTGTCTTTTTCTACTTTAGCAACTCTTGAACATTCTTTGTGGATTGTGTGAGAGGGAAACAGCTTTTGAACAACAATAGCAGCGATTTTGTTCAAGAATTGAGGAAAATTTGGCTTATAGATATAAGGAAAAAAGCTCAACAAATCCAATATGCATAAAATATAAACCACAGATATTAAATATTAGACTGATTAGATTTTGATATTAGACTGATTCCCAGCATCGTTGTTTGCGAAAATTTGTTCAAACTGATATTAAGTGCACCACCCACAATAACAGCTGGTTTGTTACATATTCACTTGTGATGCATCTTTTAATTAATCTGATCACATGCACACGCAGGTTTGAACGTGCCTGTCCTTCCCAAATGCTTCTATGACACAAACGATCAGTCACATCAGCAACTCAATGCTTAAACACCAGGTTTCTGAACAACATTTAGCCGCTTTAGGCTGGTTTCAGTTCATGCAGCTAAATGTCATGAAATCCAAAACTGTAGACATTAATTAAAAAGCAGCTTTGTAATCTAAGTGAAATCGTGCTGAGAGATAAACAGACAAACGGCTCCAGGATCAATAACCTCCCCGACAAATGTAATTAGATTGCATTCATTTACATGCATTTGGTATCTCTCGTTCCTTTAAGCCGCGGAGCGTAGATGGAGAACAGCCCAACGTACGAAGAGTCTTGAATTTTTGTTTATATGCCAATTTGTTGAACAAGCAAGCAACTGGAATCTGTTATCGGATACTTCACTGAACTACAATGTGCACTAGTCAGCGCTGCCTCAAAACAATTAGTATGATAGTATTTTTAGAGTAAAACCGCCTCTCGAGGCCCTCTGATATGGGAATCATCTTCCCAAAACTCGGAAACCTAATGGTTTCTCCTCAAATCCGACCCAAATTTCCTTACTGACAAACACAAGAAACATTCAGCTGTAGCTCTAACACATTGATATAATTTATTCTTACCCACAAAACACAAAAAGGTATGAAATTAAACAACTTTTTTGTCCTGACTTTGAATCAATGGTTCATAAGCTTTTCAGACTTATGTTGAGTTTTACAGGCGCTGTGAGTGAGATTATAGAATTGATAACAATGCCGTCAAATTAACTTCGTCCCCTGATTTTGTGGAATATTCATTTCTACCGGCGGTCAGACGAGGTTTCGAGGTTTATTGCCTGCGGTTTAATGCTCCGACTGGAGGTGGAATTGAAACATATATCTGTAATTTGCAGCGAAATGACCTGTGCTCTCTTTGCCTATAATGCTCCTTCAGCTATTTCACAAGATTATATGGAGGGAGAGGGGGAAATGCAAATCTTTTTTTTGTCATTACTTGTTTTCTGCTCGAAATTTGAGGAAATTACAATATCCGGCCTGCCTTGATGCAATCATGACGGCTGTCACATTTATTCAAAAGGAAAGCGCAGGAAGGGTTTAATATAATTGTGTTTATCGGAATTTTTGTCGGGGAAAATGAGAACGCTGTGGGTATTTTACATGCCCCGATAATCTGCTACTATATCAGCGAAATGCTGATGATTGAATGGCACGTGTGACATTTGTGACTCATTATGAACTGATTCCATATCATTTCCAATATACATGTTTGAATCTGGTCGACTTTTGAAGCGCTTGGAGCTACTCTGAAGGAGTTCCTGGACTTGGGCTGATGGCGACACCACTTCTCTGTGTCTTGTGTGTAAAAAAAAAAAAACGACGAGGTGCTTTTTAATGCAATACCACCTTGACACCATTAGGACAATGTTTCTACCAATTAAGATGGCCCTCGCCTCACGCTGACATTCACGCTGCGTGGGAGGGGAGCCTAATGTTCAGGAGAAAAAAAATTCACCGCTTCTGATAATGATAATAAATGCCTCCTCCCACACTCTACACCCATCATTACGGCATTGATCCCTCAATATCTCGGTTAAAATCCATCGCGGCGGCTCCGTTAATGAATGCTCCAAACATAGCAGTGAACCGTGGG